AAAATTTCAGGGAGCGGCACTGTTTCAGCCCCGACAAAATCGGACCATCGGCAAAAGTTATCCCGCCGAAAAAGTCGGAGCTGAACCAGTTGGTGCAGCTGTCGGAGTTTCTCCTAATTCAACGGTCTACCCGACATGGTGTAGCAGCGAAAAAGGGGTTTCTGAAGCTGTGGATTTTTTAAACGCGATAGACGCGGTGGGCAACGAAGCGGCCGGCCCGACTGTTTGATCCGATAAACAAGATCCGGCTACGATAGCATTCGCGCCTTCACCGAATGTCAGAAAAATCGCGGGCAACACGGAGTTATACTTCATCCGACAAAAGCGGACGCTGGGTGAACGGCGGCAAGCGAAATTGTCGGGGGTTGAAGACAAAAAAAAAAAGTGATGGAGGGAAAGTTGTGGGTGCTCCAGCAGATCACTTGAGTGAAAGGTTGAGAACGTGCACCACTCCACCGCGAATTTCGGAGTCTCTTCGGTAGACACCCGAAAGGGTTTGATATTGTTACATGGAGGCGCGGCGAGGGGTGCATCGCCAATGATACCTGGGATTCGCTAAGTGGCTCCGACGGGTATGAAGGTGGGTGAACATCGGAGAACAGGGTTAACGGCGGAAACGTCGGGGCTATGCGGCGGAAAATAACTTCGGGACTGCTTCAACAACCATGATTTTCGAGGCTACATTTCTACGGTGGGAGACGGGTAACGTCTGCTCTCCAGCTGTTTCAGCGGTTTACGGTGTACTTCGAACCCCTCTGGGAAAATTCTTAGGCGAGATCAGCGGCGTCGATGCAGGCTAGGTTCCGTGAAATTCAGTCCCGGTAGACCCATAGTTCTGGGCTCAACACAAAAGGTGCCTCCTATTGGTGGGTTGCTAGTGTGGTTAATCGCAGGAAATGAAAATGGTGACGAGTGGGCACGCTAGATACACTGGTTCTTCAAGGGGATAACCTACAGGTGACCAAGACGTACGAGTATTTTTTGGCACCGACACTTACGGGTTTCAGCAGCAGTACTGGAGCTGGGTCTTTACAAGAGTTCGGCGGTGACGGCCGACAATTTCGTGACAACGGCGGAGTTGCAGTGGCGCTGGCTTAAGCGCGCGAAACTGCCGCGGTGCATTTCATGGCGACAAAATCTGCAGAGTTTCAGGGGTACCAGCCGCAACACCGGTGATATGTATCGCAACAGATGGGGGGAGGAAGAGCAGCTTTTTCGACTCTGCCCCGAAGTTTTCGGCGAGTCACGACAACGTCGCCGAAAGAGCTGACGTCATCGACAATTCCAGTTCGAGTTCGAAAAAAATTCGGTGGTCAGGGGGAGGAACAGCGGCTGTTTTTCGCCTCTGCCCGTGAGTTTTCGGAGAATCGCGACAAACACATCGGCGACTTACGACAAGACTGCCGGAAGTGCTGATGTCACAAGACCCTGATATGGGTCCGATGGGTTCAAGTGAAGTTAAGTTTTTGGTAGTTACTCAACCCGACCTTCTCGCCGATCGTCGCAACCGCGCTTCTAACGACTTCGCGATTTCGCAGCGACATTTCGATGCCGAGCAAAAACGACCCAGGGTCACGACCGAAGGAGTTTCGGATGGTTCTGCAAAGGCTCAAATCCGACAAAAGGAAAACACGTGATATGCGGGTGGCAGCGGCTGACCGCTGACAATGCTGCAGAATCGAGGAATTTGATTCTGCCACTGCAGCGAGACAATGGACAGGATTTCAGACTGCAGATGCTGCCAGCCGGGGATGTTGCTGCAAGAGTCGCAACAAAAGGGCAACACGAAGGTTTTTCTTAGTACGGGATTTCTTCGACGGGCTTCGCCGGAGTTTACCCTGAGTATTTTTCAGTGTTTTCAGCAGCGGTATTTCGCCACCGACAACGTTCTCGTCTGTGCAGCCGCTCACATTTCGACGGGGTTCATATACTCGGTATGATTTCCTACCCCGGACATACAGGGTGGTTTGTGGTTTCATGCCCTAGCAGCAGTGCAGACTTTTGGTGGGCGGTATTTTCAGAGGGGGGGGAGAGAGTGCTATCGCACTATATTCCCTTGTCAGTTCCTGACAGCTTCGCCTGACGGACTCAACATGACGGACGCTCGCGATGGTTTTATCAACATCAGCGGTTTACGATTGACCGACATCTGACACCGTGTCAGCATCCCGCCGACTTCGCCAGCGTTCGTACCGACCGATTTACATCTGCGGCATCAACGACTCCCATTCATCCGCGGAGTTCAGTTCGGGAGCTCAACGACAACCATTCGATCAGGATCAGCGACAGTGGGAAACGCAGTAAGGTCAGGGAAGAGGTACTGTAGCATGAGGCGGCTCAGTGCAGCAGTGGCAGGGGAAGAGTAGCGTGAAACTACAGCGTCGTACAAGGTCTGAGCACTCTTGTACTGGCTAAAGTGTGCACGCTCAGTGGTCGGTAAGTGGCGGCGCACAGCAAGGCAAGCAGCAGCGTCACGTGCGGCCCACTGTGAGCAAACAGTGGCGTCAACATCAGCAGCAGGGGCAGGGGAGGGCACCAAAAATGAGGTCAAACAGGGAGAGACCGTCTGCCCTATCGCACTGCAGGAAAAGCTGCAGATCATCTACCCAGACCTCAAAGTCCATTGCCCGACCCTCAGCGTCAAAGGTGAGAACGCTAGGGGAAGCCATAACAGTAGGAGGCAGGGCAGTGCAGTATTCCCACTCGGGAACCTGCTCGATACCATGACGAGAAGTGAGAATGGAATGAATGCACTATGAAACAGTTGGGTACAAATACTAAGCCTAATTGGGTTGTACCCCTTATGGGCTACCCCACTACAGCCTACACAAATGTGTAAGCTATAATGTTCTGACACATCAGCTACCGCCTGCTTGAACGGGCGGGAAGTCAGGAGACTCTTCTGTTGATAGAGCTTGAATCGCTTTGCCACGCGGTCGTCGGTGTGGTCCTCGACTTGAAACATCACAAAACGCTCCGAAATGTAGTCGAGGGCGTTCATGACCATTTCGAGTCCGCCTGCCGTGTCGTCGTGCTGCAGCTTGTACTCCGCGTGTTTCATGTAGGCCCTCACGTCCTCCAGGGGCTTCCCCTTCGCGCGCACGAACGCCTTCATGAAGTTTGCCGCCGAAAAGGTGGGGGTGGTGGAAGGAAGGGGGGGGGAGATTTTCCATGGATGTGACATTTGCTGCGTTGATCGGAGCCACACCTGCATCGTCGTCAGAGTCGTCGGAGTCGTGGTCGTCGGCTGCGGCTTCGAGAACGCTGGTAGCTACCTCCTTGTTGTGGCGGCGTGTTGATGCTCCTTTCGCTCCCTTCTCCTTTTTCGAATTTTCGTTTTTAGCCGAAATTGATGCCGTCGGTTGTGTAGTTTCGGCTTCAATTGCGCTGGCGGGTCGATGCTGTAACAGGGACATGAGCGCCTTGACTTGGTCTGGGGTCAACGCCTTGGTCAAGTCCGGGTCAACGGTCGCGTCAGACGAGGCGGCCATACGGCGCCTCTGGCGCTGACGCGACTGCCTGTGGGGCGCGTGTGCCTCAGGCGCGTGCTCCGCGTCAGTCGCGTGTGGGGTGCCACCGGCGCAACAGGCGCCACAGGCGCCGAAGGGTGCTCGCCCACCACGGTTTCGACCCTAAATGTCATCGTATAAATGTCGACGCTTATAAACATCCTCGATTATAAGCGCACCCCCTAAAGAAGCGGTGTTTTTTTATAACCACAGGGGCCAGCCAGTATATCTGGGGGCTGACGGTAATACTATTTTTTTCCTGTTCTCTGTGGTAAGGCGAGGCTAATGACGGGGGGAAATGCACTTGATGACGTGGAAATTGGAGTCTTTAAATTTCCTGATAGAATCCTTGGCGGCGAGCTACTCATGATGAAAATCGTGATCATTAAATTGGTGGAGGAAGAATGAAGTGGTTAGTTACTTGATATTCCTTTCAAATTATAAACATTATACGAACAGAAACAGGCAGAACTGTAACACCCTCTTACTTAGCGGGAACCTCGCGCAGTGGTGGTTAGGAACAGGCTGGGCATTTGTTTACCGCGAAGGCCACGCGAGGTTGCCTCGGATTCGGTCCGAGCCTGCGTTCCGAAATATTGGTTTGGTACACGTTGGGGTGGAAGCTCGGTTGAGAAACAAATTCCTCACATCCACTGACAGGGTTACAGCTTTCCCGCGCAGCTGCACGCCGTCTTTGCCACGGCCTCTGGAGACTGCGTTTGCGAAGAGCCTTGAGTTTCGCAAGAAAAACGAAAGTAATGGCGAGAATTGTTTCTCAAGGTTTGGTGGCGTAACCGTGACGGACAGAATTCTCGCCACTGCCGCGACTTTCGCGAGGCCAGCGTGCCTAGGTGGGGCGACATTCGCGCGAGTCGCGCCGCGCCGAACCCTCTGTGCCTCCAGGAAGCCTGCTTGCCTCCAGTACGTATTTCAGGCACCTCAATTTTTGGACGCGGCACCTCAAGCAATTTTGCACGATTGATCGCAGGATCGCTGATTCAACCGTACTGAAACCCTGCTAAAAGTGTTTAAATCTTTTAAAACCATTTCAAACTCCTAAAACATTCGATCCTGCGCAGGATCGATCGCAGGATCGGTGCTAGAGGTGCCGCGTCCTTCTTCTCATGCACTACAAGTTCATTTCAGCAAGTCTACAGCTCTACTTTCTCTGAAGCTGCTCTCCTGCCTCACACACTGATCCTGAGACATTCAAAGCCTCCTCTCGTGCTCTCGAGTAGTGTTGATTCGAAACGCTTACAGCTCCCGTTCTGAAAACAGTGCGAGCTTAGCCTATCGCGGATTCGCGGACGAGCACTCGCTCGTCATGGACAGCTGGATGGCCGAGCCACCAGTTCACACCGGTTTCTCGTGCGATTCGCTGGAAAAATTTACCAGCGAAGGCCAATGCGATGGCTCCGACCCGAGCAAGCTAGAAGGTAACAGTCGAGTACTTGACGACCCGAGCTATAGTTTCGGCCCCACGCGAGTAACATGACCCTAGGACTTCGACCGCCTTTCGACTACTCTTTTCCCGCCTTCACGAGACCCCCTGTCATGCCAAGTAGGCGCGAGAGCGAGTTAGGGTTAGCACGCGGGTGCCAACCGTTTCCCGCGCGCGTGTCGTGCTGGCAGGTCTCGTCACGGCGTCGTGGTACGCGCCGTCCGAGACGTCCTCCGCGCCAACCCAGGCCACGCCGCTCCGCGTTGCCCTCGTCGCCTCGTCCGACGCCTCCCATTCGTCCGTCGCTTCGACGCTCTCCGCCTCCGGCGGCGACAATGCTGCTGCCGTCGCGAAACCGTCGCCGGTCGCTGCAGTTAACGCGTCCCCCGCCGCCCGAGGCGCTGCTAGCAGAGCTATTGCTCCGCGCGCGGTGCCGCGGCCAGTAGTGATGAACGCGTACGACGGCGTGCTGGACCCCGACCTGTTCGAGACCGCCGGCGAGTTGGGGCGCGGCGGGTTTGGCACGGTGGTGGCGATGCGGCGAGTGGAAAGCGGCGAGGTGGTGGCGGTGAAGCGCGTGGCGCGCAAGCAGATGGTGGCGGCGGCGAACGAGGCGATGGTGGCAGCGTCGCTGAGCGAGTGCCCGGGCGTGCTGGGCGTGCGCGAGGTGCATCTGGCCGACCACCACGCGTACCTGCTCTTCGACGTCTGCTCTGGCGGCGACCTCCGCGCCCTCCTGCAGCGCCGCGCCGCTGCCGCCGCAACCACGCCCGCGGAGAATGGCAAGGGCAGGCGGTGGTGGGGGAAGGCGAGCGGCGAGGACGGGCGGGGAGGGGGAATGGCGGAGGCGGAGGCGCTGGAAGTGGTGAAGCACGTGGGCGACGCCGTGGCGTTCTGCCACGAGCGAGGCGTGGTGCACTGCGACATCAAGCCCGACAACATCCTCTTCGCCTCGCCCCTCTCCAACATGGAACCCCCGCCTTGCCAACCCGCCGCTAGCCCCGCTGCGGCTGCGCGCCCCTCTCCTGCTGCCCGCCTCTGCGCGCCCGTCTCCTCGGCTCACGCCTCCCCCCGGCTGGCCGCGGGGGCAGTGCGGCTGGCGGACTTTGGGTTGGCGCAGGTGGTGGCGGAGGGGCAGCGCGCGTGCCGCACTCCCGCAGGCACGCCCGGGTACATGGCGCCTGAGGTGGAGGCCCTCTGCCGCCCTCGCTGCCCCGCCCGCCCCTGGCGCCGCGAAGCAGCGAAGAGGAGCCCCGGCGAGAGCAGCAGGGGGAGAGGCAGAGGCAGGCGGGTATGGGCGGGCAGCGGACGTGTGGTCGCTGGGGGTGACGCTGTTCGAGATGATCGCAGGTGAGCGGCCGTACGCGGGGGAGGCGCCTCAGCAGGGCGAGTGGCGCGCGCGCATGGAGGGGGCAGCGTGGGAGGGCGTGTCGGAGGAGTGCCGCGCGCTGGTGAGCGGCATGCTGAGAGTGCGCGCGGAGGAGAGGCTCACCATGGCGCACGTGTGCCACCACCCCGCCATGATCCGCGCCTTCGGGGGCAGCGGGACGCGCAGTAGGAAGGGGTGGTGGTGAGCGTGATGCGGTCAGGAGGAGGAAGCAGGGAAGGGTGTGGTGAGCAGCAGGGGGAATGCAGGTGGCTTGGCGTGGCGGTGGGGGGATACAAGGGAGAGTGGGATGGTATGGTGGAGCACCACTTTTTGCACCCTGCCTGTCAGGGTGTTTGGGATGCTGGGTGGATTTGGTGGATGGAAGGGGATGGGTGCACGTCACCTTGCTGAGTCGTTTCCTGCTTGCTCACGCTTGCTCTCTCTGCTTTTTCAAGGCTTGGGGGCTGGTGTGCATGAGGCTGCTGATGCTCGCACACGTTAGCTCGGTTTTAGCTCGATTTCTATTCGCATATGTTTAGCTCAATCAATGCAATGTGCTATGATATGTTCAAATTGGTGCAGCGCAGTGGGATTTGTTCCTTAAAGAGTCGGACATATGAATGCAGCAATGCAACGGAGGGAAAGAACATGTACCGTATTCTCCCGGACATAACACCCGGGGGTATTATGATAACCACAGGGAAAAAAGGGGGGGGGTCCTCTCAACGGAAAATCCTATATAATACCCGGGTGGTTATATATGGTATATTTTAATGCAAGAGGATTCTCAAAATTATAATTTTTAAACACACATGTAGTGTTTTTAAAATTTGTGTATTGTGAAAGCGAAGCTGCTTGTACTGCACAATTGGCATCGTCGAAGCGCGCTAAACGCCCTTCTCCAACTACAAAAACCGTGGGTTGGAGCTCATTTCCCTCCACCCACGTTTCTCAATTTTCAAACGGCTCACTCAACATTCCCACCACCCACCCCAGTGTAAACCGCCTTGCTAATGCCACTTGGATAGGGTACATAATAGCTAGTGTTATTAGTCCGCACTAGCTTATGTCGAACGATGATGCAAATGTTGTAATACGTCATTTGTAATGAGAACGATGCCAATTGATAAGAAAGAAAACAAGCTTTCTCAATTTAGACAGTTTGGGTGTTTCAGGGCCTCAGAAGTCAGCGAAAAAAGGCTGATTTAGGGTCTGGACGCTGATTTCCCAGACTTGTGGCTGTTTTGTTGGCTGATAATTCAGTTTTTTTTTTTTTTTTAAGTGTTGGCTGATTGTTCAGGTTTTTTTTTAATGTATTGGCTGATTTTCCAGCGTTTTTTTACAAGTGTTGGCTGATTTATAACGAGAGTGTAGGCTGAACTCTCACGCTATTACAGATTCGTGCCAGAGCCGTGAGTTTCGGCTGTCCAGGTACATCCACCTGTCAATCACGCAAAAGTCACCATGTACAGCGCCGACGCGGGGGAAAACGAATTTCCCCGATGCGTCGGTGCTTCGTTGTCACCGACAGAATGCTTTAATTGATGTGATTGGTTGTCACATCCCTTATGCGCCAATCACCCACCACCAGTGCAGCACAGCAACGCACCGCACGCACTCACGACAAGGACACCCACCTCACCCCATCTCACCCACCCCGAATCTGCATCCATGTGCGTGCCCTAAACATAGAACCAATCCAGTTCAGCCTGCGTTTTTTAGTGAGGCTGATTAGTCAGCGTTTTTTTTTTTGTGACTAGTCTGAAATTTCAGTTTTTATTTTTTAACCAACTCTGATTGATCAGCCCAGCATAGCCTGCTAAGGCTGACGTATCAGCCAAGCTAAAAACGAATCTGAGGCCCTGGGGTGTTTTAATGGTCGTTTTAACATCACAGTTTGAGGCGAGAATGTGAGTTTTGGCAAGAATGTGAGTTTCACCTTTCGGGCCACTTGCAGCGGAAGATTCGCCAGCGTGGCAACTTCCTAGAATGTGGGATGGGGGAAATGTCCACTTGCAGCGAAAGATTCGCCAGGGTGGCAACAGTGAGATTGTGGGAGGGGGAAATGTTGGCGGATTCTAAGTGCAAGTACGCGCGAAATTTCATTTAGGAAGCAATTCTCGCGATATTCCCCTGTAAGGAATCAGACTCGATAACAACTATAATAGGAATCCGTAAGAAAAGGGGGGTGTTATAGAAAATCATCCAAAAAGGGGGGTATAGTAGAAACGAGGTCGCCCATAGCACCCACCCCGCACAAGCTACCCGGGGGTGTACTATCATGGGGGGGTGTTTTGTCCGGGAGATTGCGGTATTACCGTCTGTAGGTAGTGATCACAGAAACCCACTGCAGTGAACATGCATGGTACACAGAGTGACATTCTGCAAGTAGCACCACACCATAAAGTAGCACGCTGCTGAATCGCCTCCACGATGACGGGCGGACAACCTGCCTATGGCCGTGGGTGCAAGAGCGTGTGTGCTATTGTGTGCGACTATCGTAGCTTGCACCTCCTGGGCACCAGGTTGCCATTGCATGGTCTTGTACCATACATGCTTTGGCATCCAAATGCGTGCTGTTCTGTCCCATTCCAATTGGTCAAACATGCTATCAAGAAGGACTTGGGCGCAGGGCTCTCGTTATCAGGGTAAAATACCCTTTTTGTACTGACTGGCGGCCACTTTTTTTCAGTTACCCTTTCACAGACAGGGTAATGGATTTTTTACCTTAGGCCAGAAAGTTTAGTTTTTTTTTACCCTTCGAAAAACAGCGTAAGTAATTCATTTCCCTGACTGTACACTATACGATCTCAGTCATACTGTTACGGAATTCTCCGAAGCGAGACGAAACACTATCTGGCCCCTGCAAAATGCTCCTAACAGCAAGATCTGATCCAGCGACATTTCGAATCTTATTTATGATCGAACAAACTGAGCCACTAAGTGCTGATAGGCATTGTTCTGGCCAAATTAATTGACTTATTTTTTATCCTGCTTTTGTCAGGGAAACAAGATTTTTACCGTACCCTACACATCAGGGTTGACTACGGTATACCTAGAACCCTGATTACTAAGGGTGGCCCAAAACGAATCTGAAGCCCTGCCTGGGCGCTATCAATGACTGGTACCGATAATGATTCTCACCCCATTTACCGGGTTACATAGCGCGGATTACGGTAAAGAACAGCCCAGGGAAGAAAATCATTCCGTTAAAGGCCACACCAGGGGTTTTTTTATCAGAGTAAATCACTCTGTTTCTCTGAAAATCAGAGTGGTTTTTTTGGGGGTCACTCTGACGTTGCCGAGTAATTTTTTTGGAAGATAAGTTTTCTCTGATTTTCCAGGGTCTTGATTTTAGCTACTCTGATAGACCAGTGTAAATTTCTGGAGAATGCATTTTTCTCTGTACAGGGTATAGGCATTTAGATCGAGCCCCAGCCTTGTGCAGGTTAAAAATGGCAAGAGAACTTATAAATTAAACTCCAAATTCGTAGTGACTAGTTAGCACAACGATCAAATTGCTTTTAGGGGCGCGGTAGGCATGGGTTCAATACTTGACAGGACACACCCGAATGGACAAGTAGATACACGGACTGAAGTTAAGTTTTCTCTGACAAATCAGAGTAGTGCTCATGATCAACCCTGAATTTCAGGTCGTGTCCGTAGGGATGAGATGTGAAGCGTGTGAGTGTCAACTTCTGGTTTTGACACTTGCCAACATTGTTGGCAGAGTGTCAACAACATGAAAACTGCCAGCCAGTAAATTTAGTCGGACATCCCGCTCTGCAAATCGTGTTCTTCCATCTAGCCAAATTAACTGGTAGGATCGAGAATCCTTTCTACCCACACCTGCCCAATCAACGGATGTAAAGTCCTGTACCACTGCAAGGTCTTGAGTCGCGTGTGGATATAAAGTTTTGTAAGACTGCAAGGTCTTGCAACAAATTTGTGCCCAACCAATAGGTTGCTGTCAAATGTAATTCTATGCTTGTAGGCTACAGTGAGTAGCACAATAGGGAGTACAGTTGTTAGGGTTGCATATTTGTACTCTCACACTTTCTAGTTTCGATCATTCCGTTGCATTCCTACTCTAAGATGGTATCACGAGTAGGTTAGATCCGCGTTCGTTTTTAGCTAGCCTCCGCGCCCTACGCGCCCTACGCGCCCTCCGTGCTCTCGCGCCCTCCACGCCCTCCGCTCCCTCCGCGCCCTCCTCGTGCCTAGCCCGCGCCCTCCCGCGCTGTCCAGCCTGTCGCGCGCCCTCCTCCACCGTTGCGCGCCCTCCAAAATCGTCGTGCGCCCTCCTTAGACCGCCGCGCGCCCTCCCCCTCACCGTCGCGCGCCCTCCTCAACCGTCGCGCGCCCTCCTTAGACCTGTCGCGCGCCCTCCTCCGTCAATGCTTCCCGCACACCTGCGTGCGCTTCCTGCACACCAGCATGCACTTACCCCACACCTGCGTGCACCTACCGCTCACCTGCGTGCGCTTACCGCACACCTGCGTGCACTTACCGCATCACTCTGTGTGCGCTTCCCACACACCTGCGTGCGCGTACCGCACACCTGCGTGCACTTACCACACACCTGCGTGCACCTACCGCACACCTGCGTGCGCTTACCGCACACCTGCGTACACTTACCGCATCACTCTGTGCGCTTACTGCATCTCTCTCCCCTTCACCTGTGCATCGGTCCCACGCCATTCCTCCTGCACTTGGCTCCCGGCTCAGCGGCTGGCAGCCGCTTTTTTCTCCGGTAGCGCCACCTAGGTTCGGTTAGAGCCCCGCCCCACGACTATTTTCTCGCCGACTGTCTCTCGTCAGTTTCCCCGCTGGCGTCCCTAGCCCTCCGTAGTTTTCCTCCTCGTTCTTAGCTCCGCCTCCGCCGTGCTCCAGTCGCCTCTAGCATGGGCTCCGCTATGGAGGCCCGTCGCCTCCGTTTCGATGCTGAGGGACGCCCGATCGAGTTCAGTACCTGGCAGCGCCAGACCACACGTTTCCTCACCAGCCAGCGTCAGGACGGCGCTACTCTATGGGCCCACGCGTCGGGTGCTCTCGCGGCGCCCCCGTCCCCCGTCGCCCTGCCGACCGCCCCGGAGCCGACTCCTACGGCCCAGGCGGACTACGACCGTCGGGTCTTGGCTCGGGACGTGTGGCTCTCTCGTGACGCGGCCGCCGCCCTCACGCTATCGGAGCTTCTCCCCCCGA